TGTTTCAATTCCTAAACACCGGAGATATAAGGGAGATAGATCCTCAATAACCCCTCTGAGCCTTCGAAGTAGGAGTTTCTTTTCTGTTCAGAAAAAACCCTCGTTTTAACCCTGGGGAAGGTAGTGTTCAGTTAATCTAATCAAGCGTTCAGAACTCATCAAGAGTGCGCATCCAATGATACAACAATGGTTATCCATCAAAAGGTTGAGGAAAGTCAAAACCATAATGGTTAACCCTCATCTATCAGTAACGTGCATCAATTAACGATATCCCAATGGGTATCTCTCGCACATCAGGAGGTCAATAGATAACGATACAATAATGGCTATCCATCATCTACTAAAGACTCAGATAGTCACGGTCACTTCTAACAAATCAAAAACAACGCAAAGATCAACGACTTGTTCAAAACGGAAAATTTGAGTAAGAAAGAAACAAAAAGCCCCGCTAGGTCGAAACTTGAAAACAAGTCGCTTAGGAAAAATTTAGGGCACCCCGCTGGACTTCTGAATTGAAATTCAAAAGAACTTGTCCAGGCAAGAGATAAAGAAATTGAAAAGCCTAAAAGGCGAGAAAAGGATTACTAGTGAAAATCCTCATCAAAGAATAAAGTCATGTGATCAAACACCAAAATAAGAAGTTAGTAATTGTTGTGTCCAAGAGGCCTTAGTGGTTCCTCAACCATCGCAAACTCTTCTCGATAGATGAATGCTTGTATCGGATTAATTGAACATAGGAATGGAGAACATCATGGAGAATGGGTGGGCACCAAATAATTTTGAGCCTTAAATCCTTTTTTCTTAAACCATGAACTAGGCCACGTTACAACCCATAAAAGTCCTAACTGAAGCATGGGTCAATTTGAAAGCATGCTACAACGGAATAGCGTTTAACTGACTCCTAAGAAGTATGTTTAATATTTGTGTTGTCATGATGTGCTTGCATTACCGTTCATAAAAAAATAATTTGCAAATGTTGCTCTCTAGCTAGTGACTCGTTCACAACAGAGTTATGACATCATATCATTCAAAGTTTTTACAAACTTCAAGACTTACATACGTGTTGTAGAATTATCATTCTCATAATATACATTCTTCTGCATACAAAACAATTTATTAACATCAAGTGAGTTTGCACAATGAACATCAGTAAAGAGTCATAGAAGAGAGGCTTGAATACTCTGTTGAAGCAAGAGTCAGCTATCACAAGAGAAATGACTTATCCAGGGGCATGTTAACCAATGATTCTGTTAAGAGAAAGCATCTTGGTGTTGTACAATCTGAGTACCCTTTAGGGATGAAGTTAGCAGATTCCACCAATCTGGGGAAATCAAGTTGAGAGTCGATCTCTCCGAGGTTAGACAAATCTGGGGAATTCCCTTAAAGCTATCAATCAAAGCCTATCACGTCAATAAATCTATTTAAGCTAATATCATCAGAGGCTATCACGTCGATAAATCTCTTCAAGTTGCCATTGATCAAGGGCTATCACATTGATAAATCTATTTTAAATTCATTCAACCTGGGGCAGTTACGTCGAGATACGACAAATCTCTCCAAGAAAGTTGTAATCAATAGTAGTTTATTTCGTGACTCAAGACATTGGGGCAGGCCACCGCATGGCGTATTCTGCCAAGGGTATTTTGGTCTTCTATTCAGCACATATTCTTTCAAAAATCCCACAGACAGGGGCATTCCTCATTCATACTTGCAAAATTTTTTAACACAATTATGTTGCACGAGACGACTACAATCAAGCTAAAAGTGCCAAAACAGTCACCCTGACCTGGCCAACGCATAAAGCCTCCTTCATCTACTACAGATAATTTCGAACCCAATTCCCCATGTGAATTTGGAAAGTCCGGAGTCGCCATTTGACTTGGCACGTGCAAGTACATCCCCAGTAGAGTTAATCAAGTGCATCCCTAGTGGAGTAAACTGGAGCATTCACAGAGCTAAGCGGGGGCATTCGCAGGTGTCCATGCCCATCTTTTATCCCCAAGTGATTCAAGATGTGATTCCCCAGTGTGCGTAAACTCGGGGCATGTATTCGAAGAGATCCATATGGTGTTCAGTATCCATTATTCGAAATATTCAGTCCTACCATCCTCTCAATGGTTCAGGATGTATGAAAGTATGGACATATTATCTCTTTCTCAGCTATGCAATTCAGAATTCAGTGGCGTACCTATAAACTCGCTTCGTCGGCAATTCAATCTTCAGAAGAGTCATTGATAATCTTTGGTATCACGAGCCCCTCAGTACAAATTCTTATCAGTATCCCCGATAATCTTTGGTACTGCGGGTTTCTTGTGCCAGTATGTATTGGCATCCCTAGTGATGAGCAACATTTCTCAATGAGCCTTTTCTCATCCCCATGAAGTCAATTTCTTTGCATTACATACAGTTATCACTGCATAACATTGCATCTTCAAAAGCGCGTAGCAGATCCATCAGAATGGATCTTTGCGTCAAAAGAAATTCAAACATGCATACGAAGCATAAGCCTGATCAGGTACCTTACACGAAAGAGCTAAATCACTCAAGGACAACAATACATCCCTACAAGAGGATATCGCTTCCAGAATCCCTGGTCGGTGACTTTCACCTTTACAATTCCTAGCAAAATCAATACACCTTGTCATTCTAAACCCAGTTTTCGTCTGGTAGTCAGTTCCAGCCTGGCAAATAATTCAGTCTCCAAACACTCGTCTGTGTCGGTTTCCAAACACTCATTTGTGTCAGCTCATAAACACTCATCCGTGTTGGTCCCCCAAACACTCTTATGTGTTTAACCTTTCTTGATACTCGTCCGTATCTTTTTTTGATACTCGTCTGTATTGATTCAAACACTCGTTTATGTTTAACCTTTTGATACTCGTATGTATCTTCTTTCAATACTCATCCGTATTGATTCAAACACTCGTTCGTGTTTAACCTTTTGATACTCGTCTGTATCTTCTTTCAATACTCGTCTGTATTGATTCAAACACTCGTTCGTGTTTAACCTTTTGATACTCGTCTGTATCTTATTTCAATACTCGTCTGTATTGATTCATACACTCGTCAATGTTTAACCTTTTGATACTCATCTGTATCTTCTTTTAATACCCGTCTGTATTGATTCAAACACTTGTCCATGTTTAACCTTTTGATACTCGTTTGTATCTTCTTGCAATACTCGTCCGTATTGATTCAAACACTCGTCTGTGTTTAACCTTTTAATACTCGTCTGTATCTTCTTTTAAGACTCTTCCATATAGATTCAAACACCCGTTCGTGCCTAACCTTTTGATACACGTCTGTATCTTCTTTCAATACATGTCCATATTTATTCAAACGTTCGTCTGTGTTTAACCTTTTGATACTCGTCTTTATCTTCTTTCAATACTCATCCGTATTGATTCAAACACTTGTCTGTGTTTAACCTTTTGATACTCGTCTGTATCTTCTTTCAATACTCGTCCGTATTGATTCAAACACTTGTCCGTGTTTAACCTTTTGATACTCTTTTGTATCTTCTTTAAATACTCATCCGTATTGATTCAAACACTCGTCCGTGTTTAACCTTTTGATACTCGTCTGTATCTTTTTTCAATTCTCGTCTGTACTGATTCAAACACTCGTCAATTTTTGACCTTTTGATACTCGTATGTATCTTCTTTTAATACTCGTTTGTATTGATTCAAACACTCGTTCATGTTTAACCTTTTGATACTCGTTTGTATCTTCTTTCAATACTCGTCCATATTGATTTAAACACCCGTCCGTTTTTAACCTTTTGATACTCGTCTGTATCTTCTTTCAATACCCTAAATTGTCCTACCCTTTCACTTTTATCTGGCTTATGCATATTGCATTTTTCTTATGTACATAACCTTCATTAGGTCATCTAACACTTCATGCATCATCAGTCAATAAACTTTGTATGGGAACGAGGAACTTGAAGATTAGGGTATTCTCTATGACTTTGATGATTCTTATCTTTATTCAGGCTTGAATTAATTTATTTCTCATTAACTATAGTTTGGGGAACTAGGGTTTGGATTCTTGATCATTGAGAACTTCTTTCTTTCATTAAGCTACAAATTTGTCATCTTCATCAAGGGCAGGATCATTAGGGTTTCACTAAAGGTTTACGTAAAGATTTTCCAAGCTAGGGCATGGGCCTTCTCAGCATCTCAAATTTATCTCAAAGAGCTTAGGGTTTTGCGATCACCATCATTCATATGCTTCTAATTTCTCCTATCTACAAGTTTTTCCTCAAGACGTTTGCTTCAAGATAATTAGTCATCGAAACGAGGTGCCTTTGCAAAGTGAATTGCAAGATTTAAATCATCGATACAAAGGTGATATTGTGGATGGATAATATGATCAAGCCATTGTTATTAATTATGATTCAATTACAAGAGATGGATTTAAGAGGTAAATTAAGAGTTTTAGTAAAGAGACTAGATTGATTTGGTTCGGTTCCTATGGATTCCTTATTTAGAATCATCTAAGGTGCTACCTAATGTCATAGATTAAATTTGTTTGAAGTTTGTAAAGTAAGAAGTGAATTTGGATTTCTTGAAGAACAAGTGAAGTTTTAAAAACATTAACAAAGTATGGTCATGATATTAATCTAGATTCAAGATTGAATTCAAAATAACAAGTGAAGTCAAACAAGGTTTATTCTCAAAGCAAACTTATAAAATCAAATAACTTGTTCAATGTCCATCAAAGGTCTTTTAAAACAATTTCCTTCAAGTTTCCAAGGCATTACAAGGGTGATGATCATTCAAGAACATTCTAGGTTCATTCAAATTTCCACCGAATATTATAAAAAGAATATAAAGTCAAGAGAAAATTATAAAGAGATTACTTACAAAGTCATAGTCATTACAATAATCAAGGGAGTTACATAAAAGGTCAACATCATGTTATTATTGCTCAAACTCATGGAAGGACATGAGTACATTTCAAGAGGTTACAAGGAGAAATATAAATTTTAAAAGGTGCTAAGTATTTTTACACATATTAGAGACTGAAAATGTAGAAATCAGAGCAAAGATGGAGGCTTCCAAATTAAGTGCATCAGAGTCAGTGGCAGCTTGCTTAGAAGTTGCGAAAAAGAAGAATAATAAATCATGCTCCTGGAATTCTTGAAGTGCTAAGTTCCCAAGCCTTGAATGACCAACCTTCATGCCTTTCCGGAATAGTCCATTGTCATGACCTGTTGCGCTCGGAAACTAGCCTCAAAGTCAGGCCAAAACCGTGATGTTATGCCTTCAGAATTAGACCAAGGCAGATCCAAAAAGGCTGGATACCAAGTGTCCTAAAACGTGCTATAGCGATGCAAATACGCCTTCAAAACCATGTCAATCCTGCACCTATACACAAAACCAGGTCAATTTCACCATCAAAATAGGAAAAATACTTCAAGGTAGTTCATACTACCATTAAACCAGATAAACCAAAGGGCCTCAATTGACAACAACCAGTTCAGATTGTTAACTCTAGCCTTGCACCATTAAACCGCATCCAATTTAAATTTCTTTCAAAAGGCATATACATGATTCAATAACAATTCAAGCCAGTTCATATACGAAACATAAAAAATCTCCATAAACTCAATTCAACCCTGTAGAAAAACCAGAAAAATCAAAAGTGGAGAAGACCTTTTATCCTAAATAGGGCTTTGTTTGTATTGCGGTCGAAGGGCCTGTTACGTAAGCCATCATTAGTTTGTATAATCATAACAGAGGCATATGTTCAAATTGAATAGCAGAGAAATGCACTAACTTTTTACTCTTTTTTATCTAACAGTTTCTTAACTAACTTTCTAACATGTTAACTAACTGTCCTAACCGAAATTAGGAAGCCTAACTAACTTTTAGTTTTTTAACAAACTTAGTTTCAAGTTCTCTAACAGAGCTTAACTAATTTTCAGAAATCCAACTCAGAATAACAGAAAAAACCTATTTCAACCAAAAACCATAACTAACAACCTCCATATATTACTAACTTTCTAATCCTAACAAACTTCGAGGGGAGGCATAACAGATTGAAAAAGAGAAAGAGAGAAACAGAAAGAGAGGGAAGAGGGAAGATATATAGATGGATAAAAAGAAACTAGAATAAGAGATAGTTACACAGAAAAACTCACCATCATTCTGAATCTTTCTCCTGCCTGACTCCAGAACATTCTTCATCATCATTCCCCAATAAACCCTCTCAACACTCTCTCTTCCATCTTCATCCTCACACATTTTCCATCATCTTTATCACTGAAATTTCACTTACAACCTTCAATCTTCTGCATCTACAAGCAACGGCCCCATCTTCATCATCTTTGTTTTGTCCTCCGTAATTTAGCGTCAGCATCGTTCATCACAACACTCACCGCATTTTCATAGAGTTTCCGCTGAGGTTCAAGAATCTTGCTCGATTCTTCATCATTATCAATTCTCCTCATCGAAACCGAACAACATCGCAATATTCTGCATCAAAATCACTGAACCGAGTCTTGAATCATCCTCTTTGTACATCGCCATCATTTTCTGCCATGCAATCAGCAACACAGCCACGAAGTGAAAATCAGCGAGAAGAAGAAGAAGAGGAAAACAGAATAAAGAAGAAAAGGATTTTGGATGCTTATTGAATTACTTTGAAGATCGGCTCCCGATTTCTTCCCATCGACATTTAAGAATCATCGGAATTCGCTCTGGAAAGCTTCAATTGAAGCACCTCCACGGACCTAACAGCGATTCGAGGTGAAGGTTTGAAGAGATAAGGTTAAGACGCGGCGTTCGGTGATAGAAATTGAGGTTTTCTGGCGATGATAACAGTGGTTATGGTGGATGTTTGTTAGAAATAAGGAGAAGACAAAGTTGCTATGGTTTGCGAGGAGAAGAATCGTGATCGATGGCGAACAGAAGAAGGCGATAGCGTCGTATCCTTGTTACCTGAAGACGGAGATCATCGAAGAAGGGATGGCCGCCGTTCACGTTGAAAAGAAGCTCTCGCGCTGAATTTGAAGGGTCACAATGCTTATCAAACCTAATCAAGTGCAGCAACAACAACAACAAAAATTTGCTTGCTAGATGGGCCTTACATTTTTTGGCAGCATACCATTGAATCCTGCTTACACCCTCCTAAAGCTTCATTTCCTCTATTTTGTTTCAATTCCATTTTTAATTAATTGTGATGATAGATTTGTTTTGAGATATTGGTAAATAAAAGAGATTTAGGTGAAGAATTCACGAAGCTCTAAAGCTAGCCAAGAGCATAATTTTTATCAAGGAAATTTAAGGAGATTTTAGTAGAGTTTTCTTATTGGTTGCATGGTTTCGAAGAGGGAGCGGCCCTTCTCCGTTAGGTATTATCGTGGCTTCAATTTTATTCCTTATTCCCGCACTTTACCGCTTTTCTAGATACCATGAGAAGTAGGAAATAAAGAGTGTGCGCTCGAAGTCATTGTTTAAAGACCTGTAGCATGCATTCCGCACTTCATTTGCTATATGTGTTGTGCTTGTGTTTATTTCTTTTGTTGTTGATCGATGAGACACTCAATTTAGAAATTGAGATCACGACTTCGCTCTCAGTGCATGTCCCCTATAGGATTTTATCGCTTTCCTTTATTTCTTATTAATCGATGAGTCACTCAATTTAGAAATTGAGATCGCGAATTCGCTCTCATTGCATGCTCCATATATGATAGTTTTGTTAGACTTTCTTTGGCATGCTAACCTAGATAGGATCTATTTAGGTGTGATCTCTTGAGCTTATTAGCTTGTTTGCTTTATCCTTGTACATACCATGTTCCCTTAGGGAATGCTTGTCCGTTCAGATGCGAGTTAGACCTTAGGTTGCAAACCATGCATACTAACATTAGGTAGACATTTCCCTTTTGATTAATCCAAACCTTAGGACTACTATTTTATGATAACATTAGGTTAGAAATAGTCTAGTCTCCTTTAGAATCTTTCTTCCCCTTTTGCATCCTTGCACTCAAAACTAAAACCTTTTCTTAGAAAATCATAAGACATGCTAACAACTTAAACCATTTTTCAAGGTAACAAAATACAAACCAACTCAAACCTTTTTGTGCGCTCGAGCACCTTTTCTCTAAAACCCTTTTCAGGTAAGTACATGATTAATTTACTTTTGTGCCAATGCATGAGTCTCCAAAGGTCAAGCTGCGGCAGAAGGCGCACTTAACATTGTCCATAAAAAACACAAAACAAACAAAAACATGTGAGGCGAACTACGGTAGCTCTGATTCCTCAAAAAGGATACGTAGGCATTGGGGTAGGCCCCAAGCGAGTATAACTTTATTTTTCTTACATTCTTTTCTCCTTTCTTTTGCATGCATTCTCCCTTTAGCAGTAATAAATAGTAAGCATAGTTTAAACACACCCGTAAGATAGACAACAAGAGTGGATACCTTAGAGCACTACGGGCGTGTGGGGTGTTAATACCTTCCTCTCGCGTAATAGACTCCCTTACCCGATCTCTCAGTCGCAAGACCGTGACTTCTCTCTTCTCAGGTTTTCTCGATGTGTACCTTTCCCTTCATGTGGGATAAAAGACATTCGATGGCGACTTCATTGTTTGATGGTTTTCAGCCGGTTGTTTCACCATGAAATTTCACAATCTCATCGATATACATATCAACTAGCTTCTCCATAAGATGATTGATCTTCCTCGGTAAGAAATGAGTCGACTTAGTCAACCCATCCACTATCACCCAAATCGAACCATTACCTTTAGCAGTTCTCAGCAAACGTAACACTAAATCCATAGAAACACTGTCCCATTTCCACTCTGGAATACTCAAAGGTTGCATAAGACCCAAAGGCTTCTGTTGCTAAATCTTCGAATTCTGGAAAGTCAAACATGCATAAACAAATTTATCCACTACTTTTTTCATACCAGGCCACCAAAACATTTTCTTCAAATCCTGATACATCTTTGTAGCACCCAGATGAATACTTAAGTCACTTCGGTGTCCTTCCTCACTAAAACTCTTCTTTAGTTCTGGAACATCTGGAACACAATTCTGAACTCACCTCCATTACCTTTGTTATTCAAGGTCAACTGATCAACCAATTTCAAATCAAACTTCTGACCTTCTTGGATTTCTTCAAGAATGCCATTAGTCAGTTTCAACATTCCCAATCTTACACTAATAGGAGTCTCTTCACATACCAAGCTCATATATCTAAATTGTTCAATAATTTATACCTCTCAAACCATAAGCATCGACATATGTAAGGACTTTCTACTTTATGCATCAGCAACTACATTTGCTTTACCAGGATGGTAACTCAAATCAAAGTCATGATCTTTCAACGACTCGAGCCATCTTCTTTGCCTCATGTTTAACTCTTTCTGGTCAAACAAGTACTTATGACTATTATGATTCCTAAACACTTCAAATTTAAAGCCAAACAGATAATGTATCCAAATCTTCAACATAAATACCATAGCTACCAACTCTAAGGCATGTGTAGGATAATTCCTTTCATGAACCTTCAGTTGCCTATAAGCATAAGCAACAAATTGCCCATTTTGCATCAGCACACCACCAAGACCCATCTTATACGCATCATAATACACCACAAAAGACTCACACGGATTAGGAAAAATCAATACCAGAGCGGTCGTCGGCTTCTTCTTAAATTCTATAAAACTTTCTTCACATGCAACATCCCACACATAAACTTTGACCCTTTCGAGTCAACTGAGTTAACGACAATGCTAACATAGAAAATCCTTCAAAGAATCTTCGATAATAACCTGCTAAACCAAGAAAACTTCAAATCTCAGTTATAGATTTCGGAGTCTCCCACTGCAACACTGCATCAACTTTAGAAGGATCCACAATAATCCCACCACTAGAAATCAAGTGGCCAAGGAAACTCACCTCCTTCAACCAAAATTCACACTTCGACAGCTTTGTATACAACTTCTTTTCTTTCACCACTTTCAACATAATTAAAAAATGTTTAAGATGTTCTTCTTCTGACTTAGAATAGATTAGAATATCGTCAATAAAGACCACAACAAACTTATCCAGGTAAAAATGGAAAGTTTGATTCATATACTCCATGAAAACACCTGGCACATTAGATATACCTAACATCATCACAGTGTACTCATAATGACCATACCTTGATGGAAAAGTCGTCTTTGGAATATCATCTAGTTTAACGTGAATCTGATGATAACCCGACCTTAAGTCAATCTTGCTAAAAACACAAGCACCCACCAACTGATCCATCAAATCATCAATCCTCGGGAGTGGATACTTATTCTTAATAGTCACTTTGTTCAACTGCCTATAATCCATATACAATCCCATACTTCCGTCTTTCTTCTTCACTAACAACACAGACACACTCCACGTGGAAACACTTGGTCAAACGGAATTTTTCTCAAGTAATTATTCTAACTCTTTCTTCAAATCAATCAACTTTGAAGCTGATATCCGATAAGGATCCATTGACACCAGACTTATACCTGGCGCCAAATCTATAAAAATTCCACTTTACGTTCCAGAGTAAAATCACTTATGTCATCTGGAAACACTTATGGGAATTCACAAACAAGATGTAATTCCACACTCGCAACTTCACAATCAACTTGCAATGACACAAACATTGCAAACATCAAGGCTTCATCTTCTAAAAGTTCCTTCACTTGCTTAGCAGACAACAACATCAGTTCTCCATTATCACCAAACTTAGGGAACCTCAAAGTCTTATTATAACACTTGATATAAACATATTTGAACTCCAACCATTTCATCCCAAGAATAACATCAATTTGTTCTAAGGGTAGACACACCAAATCCATCACAAAATTCTTAAGGTAAATGGTCAAAGGACATCTTGAAACCTACAACGAATGAGCTTTTCTATCTTCTTCATAGATTCTACAGTTGTTCACCAACTCTAGAAACCTACAGATCTACGGATATCTAATTGCCCATTTTATTTCCAGATGTAAACCATTCTCAAACTTGATACACTTCAAGAATTCAACAGTTGCTTCACTGTAATATGGATAATATTTTGCCAGCTCCATGAACCTTGAAGCATACTCAGTCACCGACATATTCCCTTGTTTCAGCTTAAGGAACTTTATCTTTCTTCCCGTGTACATCTTCGAGAAAATACTTCTTCAGAAATTCTCTACTGAACACAACCCAAGTAACAACTTCACCCACCGCTGCCAATCTCTGACGGGTGCCAACCCACTAGTTATCAGCTTCTTCTTCCAGCATATGCGTACCAAATCGCACCTTATGTGCCTCTGAACAATCCATGACCCAAAAGATCCTTTCAATATCCTTAAGCAAAGTCTGCTCTCCATCAGGA